CGTATTTTTTACTCAAAACGTCTAAAACGTTTTTATGATCCGTTGAAACGATTTGACAAAACGTTTACTATCCGTTCGTTAACCGTTTTTTTGCCCGTTTTAATGCAAAATCGTTAACGTACGTTTTCCCAAGGAGGGTCACATTTATGCGATGTCATCACCAGAGTATCATACACTGTTTAGCGTAAATATTATACCTATCGTCCGGGGGAAGATAACCATCGAAACCACACCTTTGGAAAACCTGTTGGCAACAAGTAACCTAGTTCTCCGGCAAGTCTGGAATAGAACTGTGGCAGATGTCGTTGCACAATACACAGGTTTAACAGTGCCGCAATTGGGATGTCTCTATGGCTGGGATCAAGTCTTCCTTAACTTCATTAATACAGCAACATGGAGCGATGTCAATGCGTTCCGACTTTGTAGCGAGTATGAGAAATTGACACTTCATCGAATCTTGGTTCAACTTTCAACAGCACCAGCAGTGAATTGCTGTACGTAATCAGTATCATTTTATTTTACAGTAGTATTTACGTTGTAGAATTGAACTGGGAAAAATTCTTGAATATTGAATATGTTTGGAAGTTAACAATGTACGTACGTGAACGTTCAATATCGCCACCCTCTTTTTGCTTATTTCCGATTATCTTGTTTTTGGGGTAATGTTCATTTATATGCACGAGCGATACTCACCATATCTTTTTACATAACTAAAATATATGTATATTATAACAATATCATAATAATATCTTGATTTTTTTTCAGTTGGAACTATCTCTTTATCGTCAAGTACTTACGATGTCAGGGAATCGGACGCGATCGTTGTTATTTTTGTTCAGTTGCTTGGTCATGTTGACGATGTCATTCAAGTTAGGTAAGCAAGGCAATGTTTAAAGATGAAGTGATACTACTAGTGTCTACAATTTCTGTTGTTTGCCTTAAAAATAATTATTCAGCTCAAAACAAAACATTTCATTTCTCATGTAATTTCTAAAGAATATGAGGCTTCTCTTAATGTGAACAAAAATAGCAAAACAAATATTATATAAATCCCAATCCAGTAATCACAATAAAAATTAATTAAAGTTCTTAATTATTAATAATCTGAGTAAATAAATAAAATCAATTAATTTTTAGTTTATCGGTTACTCCCGTGTATACCGGATACCAATGTAACATTCCAAGCTGGAGAAACTGGACAGAAACCAGTAATTATCAACATACTTGACGATCAAATAGTGGAAAATAATGAACAATTTCTTGTATTTATTACAAGTTCAGATTCTGATACGAGAGTTGTAATATCCACAGCAACAGTTACTATTCTGGATGACGATTGTAAGTGGTTTTTAAAATTTATTTTATTCAATAGGTGGGTTTCATTTTATGGTGTAAAAAAGTACTGAATTTTTCGATTATGTGCATGTGTCATCGAACAGACAAGTTTACCAAACGTTCTGTATCAAATGTACAGAGTTGACTAAATGTTCTGTATTTTCCCAACTAGTGTAAGCTACCTATATCCATTGTTAAGATTGATAATTTTAATTTCGTTTGACGTTTCTCCATTGGGATCTGTACATTGCCTTGGTATCATTCCAGATACGTTTCCACACAGCTAATACTGTTAGCTAGAGATAGTAACATTAACAGTAACAATTGGCTTTATTAGCATGACTTCACATACAAGTATTGCTAAAGCTTATTAGTTAATTATAAATAGTTACAAATGCAAAGTGTTCTGTGGTAATATGACACTGTGAGTAATACAAGAAATAAAAATGAAATTATTGATATAAAGAAAGGCATAGTTAACAAATGAATACTTTATTTACAGTATACAGTATATGTAATTGAAGAAGTTTGGGAGTTAGTTCGATAGCCGAGCTTCAAGGCATTTAGATCTCTTCTCAAAACATAAAGAAATAAATTTTTGATAATTTTATCACGGTTTCTTTATCAGTTGATTTCATTATCTCAACTGATAAACTGTGTTCGTTTAAATCTGTTTCATTGGTGGGATCACTTTCCAAGTCATTTAAAAAGTTTTCTCGGAGACTACTATAGGCTTCACAGGATGTTAGGAAGTGATGTTCCGTTTCAATTTCTCCTGCCTGGCAGACCTTGCATATTCGGTCTTCTCGCGGAATGTTTTCGTGTCTACCGAGTTCAATCATTAGTTTATGGTTACTTAGTTGGAGCTGTGTTAAACGTTTTTTTTTGTTTGAATTAGTTATGGTAGTCAAATAAGTTTCAAGCTCATAGTCTTCCTTTATGCTTGTGTAGAAGGTAAGTTTGGATGAGTTTTCAAGTTTATGTCTCCAGAATCTCTGGTAGTTTTCTTTAGTATCTTTAACGCATGATTCAACTAGATTGGTTGTAAGTGAATCTAGGTCAGGGATTGCTCTATTACAATTCAAGGTTTTCACTATATCCATTGCTTTTCCATAGAAAGAATTGCTCTTTTTAATAAATAAATCTTTTGATATGAGGATAGCTTGTTTTGAAATGGTTGTTGCAGGAAGTGAATTAAGATGAGTGACGTACTTGAAGATTCTTTTGAATACATTGATAATTAATGGATATTTTCCAAGTTCGCTTCTTGAGGCGATATTACTCGTCTTTCTGCCAACGCCCAAGTATAGCTTACAGAATTTTAAGTGTACTTTTTCAACCGGCAGTTTATCCCAATTGATAAAATCGTTTTTTATATATACACCCCAAACTTCTGCATTGTACAGAAGAATGGGGCAAATTATGCTGTCGAAAATTTTAATAGCAGATTTGGGGTTAAGTTGGTGTAGGTTGAGCCGTCTTCTGATGCTACAGAGCGCATGCAGGGCTTTTTCACTCAGCTGTTTGATAGCCAAGGAAAAATTACCATTGTGATTAAGCTTTATGCCTAGGTAACAGTATTCCTGCACAACAGATATCTTTTCATTTCCTAGTGCGAAAATTGGCTTCGCTTTTTTTGTTTTCCTTTTTTCAAAAATCATAATTTGGGTTTTCTTTAGGTTTACCTCCATTAGCCACTTCTTACTCCAGCTATGGAGTTTATCCAGACACTTCTGGAGGCCGAATTTTGATTTAGATAGTATAATTAGATCATCTGCGTAAAGAAGACAGCTCAGTTCTGTTCCGTTAGGCAGTATAAATGGGTCCGAATTGGTGTTTTTAAATAAGGTCGTTATTTCATTTATATAAATATTGAAAAGAAGGGGGCTTAGTATACATCCTTGACGTACACCTTTAGAATAAGTGAAAAAATCGGTTCTGATGTTGTTTTGTTTGATTGCACATTTCGAGTTAGAATAAATACTCTTTATAAGACTGTAAAACTGACCATCAATTTTATTTTCAAGTAATTTCAAAAAAGACCTTCGTGCCAAATAGAGTCAAAGGCTTTTTTAAAATCCACGAAACATGCATAAATTTTACCTTTGTTTTGTTCTACTTGTTTGTCAATTAGTGTTTTCAAAGTAAAAATATGGTCTGCAGTTCGGTGACCAGACTGAAATCCAATTTGCGAGGGATGTATTAAGCTTTGTTGGTAACTAAAATTGCTTAGGCGGTCATTAAGGATAATACAGTAGAATTTGCTCAAACAGCTTGTCACACAAATTCCTCTGTAGTTGTTGGGGTTAGTTTTATCACCAGATTTAAAGATTGGCGTAATCAGACCTTCACACCATTGATCTGGGAAGCTACCAGTTTCTAGTATGAGGTTAAAAAGTTTTTTGTATCCTTGTAACAGTATGTTTGTACTGTATTTGAGCATTTCGTTTCTTATTTTATCAGAGTACGCGGATTTGTTGTTTTTTTAATTTCCTCGCAGCGTTGATAATTTCGTATTCTGAAATAGGTTCATCGAGTAAATTATTTGTGGGTTCCATTTCAAGAGTTTTAAGCGTTTGTAAGATATTAATCTGTTCAGGGCCTATTAAGTGCTTTGTGTGCAGAGATTCAAAATGATTTAGCCAACTGCTGGCTGTAACATCCGGCTTATTGAAGGAAAAGTCTTCGAGTTCATCACTCATGTTCTTAAGTACTTTCCAGAAGGAGTTTGGGTCATTTTCAGACACTCTTTCTAGTTCTTCTAGTTTTTTTTTCATGAAAAAGTTCTTTTTTACGTTTTAACGTGTTTTTGTAAATTTTGAGGGCAAAATGGTATTCGTTTCTTATATCGTTATTCAGGGGATCACGGTCTTTTTGGTTGGCAAGTTTCCTAACTGAATGTCTTTTTAAACGGCATTCTTTATCAAACCATTTCTTATTACAGACATTAGATATTTTGTTTCTGAATTTGGTCTTTTTTATTTGGAGGGAACTCTTTCCGGCATGCAAAATAATATCTTCCATTCTGGAAGCGAATGTGTTGACTCCTTCCTTTGTGAGGGGAGTGTCATAGTTGATTAAACTTTCCAGTTTTTGTTGGATTTCGACTGATTTTAAAGCTTCAGTGAATGAGATCGGCGAATTATTTTCCCATGTAAATTGATAAGGGAGTTTATGAGTAGTAGATATGGGAGTCGGAGTTATGTTGCTAGTTGAGTTAATATGTTGCTTTGTTCTGATCCACGTCACAATTTGACTGTGGTCAGATAAGTAGGTTGGTGGTTTGACAATAAAGTTTTCGATGGTTTGTGTAAGCTCTTGGTCACAGATTATATAGTAAACTACACTAGTTCCATTTTTGTGATGGGAAGTGGGTTTACCAAACGAGTCACCAAGAGTTCTTCCATTCAGAATTCTCATGTTGCAATTTTTGCAAATTTCAATAAGACTTTTACCATGCTGGTTAGTAGAGTTATCAAAACTTTCTCTGATTTTTGGTTCAAAAGATGTATAAGTATAGCTCAGTGGTTGTCACCCCCCCGCAGTGAACTCTACTATATACTGGAACGATAACTGCGGCTCAAAAATTGAAGCCAAGATGGCGGAAATTGAAGCTCGTTTTGTAGGTATGATCCAGGCACAGAATAAGGTACACAGAAGGTCGACTCGAGTAACGCTGCCACGCCATGATTCATCATCAAAATGCTGACGCCATGGTCCTAGCCAGTGCGGGTTTGAGAGGCATTCCCACTGAGCTATACTATATTACTGGAGGACCTGCTCGGCATCATCAAGTGAAGCCGAAAACATGGCGGCTATTACGCCATTTCCATGACAACACTTACTTTATTTTCATGGTAACTGCCACTGACCAACCGCGATCCTAAACTTCCGACGATGTCCTTAACCCCCCTGGTTTTTGGGTAAATATTACGATATAGATATTAAGATATAAAGTTTTCTCTCGAGTTTTCTGTTGTTTTTGAGCTAAAAAATCTTAATATTTCCCTCGAACATTACTTGTTTTACAA